GTTCGAACCACTTCCCTTTGAAAGGGAAAGATGGGCCTCCCGACCACTAGAAAAGCCATTGGATGGATAAGGCAGGGAGCCATGACAGGGATGGTGAGGGGTAAAACATCTCTGTCATTCTAATGCAGGGCTGTGCTCCTGCTGTCTGCACTGCCATGATGCACACACATTGCTTCTTCAGCTGCCTTGACACTAGACCTATTCAGGCTTTTGAGCATTGCCTGCCTTCAGAACTACATTGCGTTCCATGCTGATGCCAAAGGGAGCTGTGTGCATTCCCTGAGAACAGAATAAGGCCCTGAATTTGCAAAAGCGGCGAGGAGTCCTGTGACACCTTATAGACTAACTGAGCGAGGAGTCCTGTGGCACCTTATAGACTAACTGAAGTGTAGGAGCATAAGCTTTCATGGGCAAAGACCCACTTCGTCAGATGCATGTCATCTGACAAAGTGGGTCTTTGCCCACGAAAGCTTATGCTCCTACACTTCAGTTAGTCTATAAGGTGCCACGGGACTCCTCGCCGCTTTTGCAGATTCAGACTAACACGGCTACCCCTCTGATACTTGATGCCCTGAATTTGTAACCATTCGGCCCCCATCTGCCACTTAACATCATCACTGTTCCAGACAAGATAATTTGAAGTAAAGTGACCCGAACTTTGCATGTACAGTAAATGAGTAAAGTTAAAATGATATACATTGATTTCATCAAGACCCCCGATGACTTATGCAGATGACTTCTATTAATGCTAAAGAGAGTTAATCACATTAATTAATCTTCTCCTTGTGATCACTGATAGAAGAATAGATCTCTACATTTGGCTAGGACCATGCTGGAGGTTTTCAGAGTTCAGTGATTTGTGCATAGAAGAAAAACTTTTTTTTTGGGTGTAATACAGCAGGATTAGTCAAAGGGTCTTTGCTTTTGTAACTTGGAATAAAGAGCTAAAATGAACAAAATAAAATAGATTGTGTAGCCCATAAGTTTAAGTTGCTAGCCTGCTTTACCATGTAACATACTTCTTTCTTGGACTGATTTGTGAACTCCGGTCATCTGAAGAAGTGGGCTGTGCCCACGAAAGCTCATGATACCATCTTTATGTTTTGTTAGTCTATAAAGTGCTACCAGACCATTTGATGTTTGGTTTGTACTACTTAGTTACTACAGGCAGTCCCCGAGTTACGCGGATCCGACTTACGTCGGATCCGCAGTTACGAACGGGGCACTTCCTCTCCCTGGTCTCTAGCAGACCAGGGAGAGGAAGCAAAGCGGCGGCGGAACGCGCGGCCAGCTGACAGCCCAGACGCGTCTGGGCTGTCAGCTGGTCGCGCGTTCCGCCGCTTTGCTTCCTCTCCCTGGTCTGCTGGAGACCAGGGGGA